GGGCAGGATAAAAATCTAACAAACAAACAAACAAACAAACAAACAAACAAACAAACAAACAAACAAATAAACAAATAAATAAATAAATAAAAATAAGCCGCTGAGCTATTCAGCAGTTATGATGACTAATGATAACAAAATGGTTATGTTCTGTTACATATTGGTGTTCTTAAAACTGCTATTTTAATAGTATATGTGTGTGCTCTCAGAAGCTTTATTTATTTAAGATATTTTTCCCCTGCCTTTCTCCTCAAAAAGGACCCAGGGCAGTTCACATCATCAAATGATAATATTTAAAAGCTAAAAAACAGTAAGTATACAAATATTTAAAAGAATCAAACTCCACTTTAAAAATCCTTCCCAGCAGCAAAGATGGGACCAACCAGGAAACAGTTAAAAAAAGTAACTTTTCCCAGCATGACCGTTTGTGCTGATCTGAGTCCTACTGCAACCTACCCCTGTCCCTTTGTGGCCATCTGGGTACAGTTCAGCATAAAAGGGTGCACAGACGTCCCCCAGCAGCTCATGTAGGATGCGGGCGACATGAGGCAAGAGACGTTCAGGCAGAGATCGTTCCACCAGCAGATATTCTGGGGGTGGGGTGGGCTCACTTCCTGCCCCATGGCGTCGCTCAAGAAGCTGGTGCAGTAATGAGACCTCAGGGGCTCCTGCGTAGAGGTGCTCCAACTGTTTCCAGGTCAGTATCTGTCCAACGTCCAAGCCATTCTCAACAAAGAGGCGAACTAAGGCAGGGCGGTCCCCCAGCAAAGCATCACGCATTGGGCCCTCCAGCAGACTAGGCTGCAGGAAATAGCGGAATAAGAACAGTGTCAAAAGAAGCAGCTGTGGGTGTGCACTGGTTGTACATTTCATGAAACTGATTGATGGAGCTATCAGTTTGTCATGGTCAACCTAGTCTTCTACAAAGTCAGCTTGGTTTCTAAGAGAGCAGTTATCACACTTCTGCTTCTCTTGAAGAAGTCTATGCTAACCAGTGTTTTTCTTCACTGATAAGCTTTCATTCCTCAGCATGGGGAAAAATGTTATAGATAATCCATCATTACTGCTGAAAGAACATTAGTGTTGGAGAGACCTGATTCAGGCAGACTTCCATGTCTGAGAACTCAGCCTTCAAAAAGATATTGTGTTAAGTCCCAAGGAACAAACACACAATAAAACAAGCTAATTGCAAACTCCCAGAGGTGAGAGAAGCTCATGCTATAACAATCGCAGACAATCACTCCTTAAGGATAGGTCATCAATTTCTGCCATTCAACAAAGAAGCTCCCCAAATAACCCCATTCCCTCATTACCTTATGCCACATTCTGCTGCCTAAGCCAGTTCACTGCTAAATTGGGCAATAGGGGCAGGGAGCCTGGAGAGTCGGTGTCTGGCCCGCCCTATTAGGGAAAGGGATGCAGGGGCTGGAAAGTGTGAACCTTGAAACCCCTTTCATTTCCCTCCCACTCCTCTGCGGACCCACCTCCCAGAGAATGTCCCCACGAAACAGCTCAGTGCTGGCAATGTCCACACGGTTCCAGGCTACAGCCAGACGCAGTTCATCCAGGTAGGAGGACGCCTCGCTTGACCGCCTACAAGCTGCAAGGAAGCAAGAGAAAGCAGAAACCCCATTTGCTTTGATCCCCTCCCACTCTCTTGTGACACTGTCAATGGGGAAGGAGAGGAGAAATTCTGCAAAATATGTTTGTGGGGTAGGATTCCTGGGGAAGTGGTAAGAATTACTGTCAACGTGTCATACTTGGATTACTTACAGAAATCTAAACTCACACAGTTGCATTTCACCCACCTAGTGATATCTGTATCTGGCTGGATAGCTCAGTGAGTTAGTACCTGACTGTGGAGCCAGATGTTGGGAGTTAAAGCCTCCACTGTGCATCCAAGAAGTGCCAGCCTGTGTGGCCTTGGGCAAGCTGCACTGTCCCAGGACGCCCTCAGATGAAGGGAATGGTAAGTTATTTCTGAGTACTCTCTACCTAGAAAACCCTGAAAAAGGTTGCCATAAGTCTGACTTGACAGCACACGGGGATTACGACAATTAGTGTTATCTGTAGAAGGATACCTACCTTTCACCAAGGCTTTAAGCAGGATAGTCTCAAACTCCTCCAAGCCTTCCTGATCTGAATAGACAGTCACCAGTTCTCGGAGAGCCCCGATACGTTCCACCTAGTGAAACATACAATGGAAACTCCACTAGGCATGGATCAGAAAATAAGAGATCCTTAAGTGCACACTGATTAATCAGTTCAAAAAAGTTATAAGCAGGATGGGGTCATTATATAGGCGAGGATCAGAAAATAAGAGATCCTCAAGTGCACACTGATTAACCAAATGAGGGCTGATGGTAAAATGGGTTCTGGTGCGAAATGGTAGAAGGAAGGTGGAAGGAATATTTCAGGGCCTGATGCAGAATAGGAGTCTGTACGAGTTCCAAGAATTTTGGGAAGCCCATGGGGAATGAAGAGATGGGGGGGGAAAGGGAGGAGGGAGAGAAAGCAAGAGGCAAATAGAGAAAGGGGCTCCCTAAATCTCACCTCCTCTGCTAAGCCCTCCAGCTCATCATCAGGGAACTTTCCTTGCATTTTCTTGATGGCCAGGGCTTTCAGGGGCTCTCCCGGTTGCGTCTCTTCCAACAACACAGCCAAGCAGTCGGCCGCTCCTCCAGTTCCTGCCAAGAGGAGGCAGGGGATGGAGGCGTGCACGGCCTCAGAAACACGCTGGGGGGGGGGAAAGAACAAAACAGAACTGGTTGGCATGAGGAGGTGATGCCCTCAGAACCATCCTGTCTCTTCCTGAGAGCAATTCCTCATTTTTCTGTGCCCTTGTTCCTTCGTCACACTGCATGGAGCAACGCTTCCTCCTCAGCAAGACTTTCTTTCCATGTTTCTCCACTAGGGCAGGCCCAAGAAATGTTGCTGCCTGAGGAACATGTCTTCCCCTGGAATCAGGGGGCGCAATATCCAAAGCCATACAAAGTCATTTTAGCACACAAGGAAAATAATCCTACAAGTGTCTTTTCCCATTCCTGCTAGTAAAAATCCAACAGTAATAAATTAAATGACCAACCCTCAACTGCCATTTCATGACCTTCCAAAAACTGCTGCCTGAGGCAGCCACTCCACTCTTCTTAATGGTAGGGTTGGCCCTGTTGTCCGTATATGCAACCCCACATCCTCATCTTTCCTCAGCTCATTTTATGTTTGCCCATAGTGATCCCTCCAGTTGTGTCTCTTCCATCCCACCATCTCTTGCGCTGCATCTCTCTCCTGGCTTAGCCCCCCTCCCCTTCCTTTCACATGACCCCACACCCTTTACCTTAAACATAGCCGAATCCCCACTGATAAGCAGCAGCAACACAGGAATTTCAATACTCCCACGACCTATGGAGTGAGGAGAGGTAAGACAGAGAAGTTAGGCATCGTGGGAGAGACCTTAATGGCCTAGGGGTGGCAGCATGGGCTAAAAAACTGATGCAGGGCAAGAGCAGACAAATATATTTGCATACAAAGGAGGAAATGTATTATGAGGAATAATGGCCAGCAGTATAACAACAAAACAAACATGCAGAATTCTGGGTAATTCTGTATGAAGTTAATGAAGACTCAATCTCTGGCCTAATTCAGACTTAAAATTGTCTCTGTGCAGAACTCTTTCAGACAACAGACACAGGAGCAGAAGTTGAATGCTGCTGCACACACAAAACTCCTCCACCTAGAAAATCAAGTGTTGGGAGGAGGGTTTCTAGTAAGAGCAATTATTTACATATAATTATTTCAATATATGTGGATTTAGATTTTGTCATTACATAGACTCACTGAAATAACTGGGATGTAGGCTGCGACTACCTGCGAGATTTGCTCCACTTGTAAAACAGGAGAATTTTAAATATTTTTCTGACTGCATGATGAAAAAGCAGATTTGAATTAGCCCAGCCCTTGCTGCTCCCAAAATGGCTTCTTTTTCCTGTTGCTGAGGAGCTTCTACTTTCTCAAGCTGAAATGATTTAAACAGGTTTTCTCCCCATATAGTTAGTAGCATTCTTTCCTCACCTTGTTCTCCAATTTGTTTTCTTTCTTAAATATATGAGATTAGCACTAGATCACCCTATCAGGTCATCACTATTATTTCCCATATTTACGCCCCTGTCAGTTCCCCATTAGATTAGCAAAGGCGTGACCAAAGGAAGGAAGGAAGGAAAGGGGGGGGGGTCCGTGGGCTGGAATGCAAATTGAATCACATCCAGTATGAACAGTGAACTCCCAAATCAATCTGCAGCCATTGTGTGAGCACTGACTGCAGTTTCAAATGTAATATTGGCTGTGAATCGAATCGTCCCAGTGTAGTTGCAGCCGTAAATTAGGTGTGACTACTTGAAGTCCTGTGGACTGGCATGGGTATACTCTGAGCATGCTTGCAGGCACTTCTGGATGGAGGACTCTTAGTGTTACCAATCCCAAGTCATTATGCACTTGTTCTGTCTTTCTTAACAAAATTTCTATGCTAAGAGGAGGAAGGAAAGCACAGGAGGGTTACAAGTGGAAGACACTACTGGCTGGATTCTCCACATAAGTCTGTGAATGAAGCAGGATTATTGTATGGCAAATGTAGTAATCTTGGAAAAGCCCCCTAAGTTTAAATATCACCCATAGAAATGTTTCTGGGGTGCATGCTGGAATAACTGTGACGGGTGAAGAAGAACTTATTCATTATATATATAAATAAAGAGATCTCTCACCTCCAGCTCCTACTTTCTGCTGGGCAATGTAGCGTTCCAGGTGGGCACGGAAGGAAACCTCTCCCGCTGCCTTGCCCTCGGTCCCATCGTCTACCAAGAAGAAAGCAGAATGGTTGGCATCTAGAGGGCAGAAAGGGCCAACAGGGGTTGTCCGGGGATAACGTGCTGGGAACGAACCCTTTGGGACAAAAGAGAGAGAGAGAGAGAGAGAGGGAGCATGAAGGAAGGAAGGGCTCAGGTGTTTCTGTTCTCCCTTCCAAGCCCATCCTACTCTTTGCCCTCCTACTTTGGTTTTAAAAACAGTTTCCCCACCCTGGATACCTTGGGGTTCACAAGGCAACGGCGCTGCTCCACAATGCCCCATGGAGCGATCCCCATCGCTACCACATGCGTGCTGGGGTTGGTGCTGGCAGTGGTGTGGTCCCTCACAGCTTCCCCGACATGTCGGCCTACACCAGCGTGGAGCCCACTTGTCATAATCCAGGCACCTGTGGGGAAGCAGGAAACACGGGGCAATGTTACAGCAACAGGGTGGTGTACATTAGAAGGTGTGATGGGAACCGTGATCAATCTGCTTGTTAACAAGGAAGCAAGGTGTTTGGCTGGGGTGGTGCGTGTAGCCAGCCTATCCCGGAGCCTGAAGAACGAGGGGACTAGAGAGCTGGAATATTATGAGAAAGAGAGTTTTAACTGACGAAATGGGGTTGCTGTTGGATTGTGGTAAATGGAGATGAACAGAATAATAGAATAAGACTATTGTCATTGCATGTGCAATGAAATCACCAGAGTCCTATCCAGACACTGCATCACTCATTCAGCTAAAACTCCATGTAAACTCCTTACAAAATTCCAACATAATACGACAACAAAATACATTCATATTGAACCCTACAATATGTCAGATCAAATCTTAACTGATTTTAACAAAGTAGTCACCCTTGGATAAAAACTGTTTTTAAATCTATTTGTCCTTGTTTTAATACTGTAGATCTATATTGTCTTCCTGATGGCAAAGTTCAAGCAAAGGTCCCGGGTGGGAGGTGTCCTTTATAATATTTTGTGCTTTTTTAAGACATCGGGACCTGTACAGTTCCTCCAAGGTGAGGAGGGGGACACCCAACAATCTTCTGTGCTGTATTTACTAATCACCCTCTGGAGTGTTTTTTTCTGGGCCACTGTACAACCCGCGTACTGAAGCTTGTATCTAATCCCAAATTTATGTTACAATATAATAAAAAGTTAACATTTTCATTCATGGCCAGTGTCAAACACGTTGCTAGAAATTTATTTTTAATAGTGACACACTTGGGTTGAGGTTCGGCAAAATAAGCAAAACAAAGCATTTTTGTTTGATTTTTTTAAAAAAGGCAGTGTGGTTTTCCACATCCAATCCAAACTGGACACTCCTCTAAGCCTTCCTTTTGCTTTCTCCAAAGAAAGCTTCCTCTGTTATTGTAGCTAATCATTGGTTGAGATATGATTGCTGGAAAAAGATGAATGTTGTTCCAGTTTTTAGACACACCCCTGGGGCAAAGGGCTCCCACATTACCTATGAACAAAATAAATTGCTTACCTCACAAAGTACACAGAGAAGGACCAGGTCAGAAGTGACCCTCTGTGTATTCTACTCCCTCCCTCTAAATTTTCAACAGTGCACTGCAGGCATTTTCTCTGGGTGTGGACACCCCATAGTATAAAGCGTCCACATGCATGCAGAAAGTTTGCAATGAGCTTTTTAAATACTGTTCCATTAGCAAACAGACCCAGGAGCAACAACCATACAGGCACCCTTCCCTAAATCAGAGGTTCTTCTCTTGTTCATCTGCTCTCAAAGAAAGCAAGAACACCCCTTGTGAAAAGGAATATGTATCACTTATAAACTTTCCTTTCAATTCTGCACACAGTCTTACAGTGCAATGAAAGCACACCTTCCAGGATATCTATCGTAAATAAGTACTGTACAGTAATTTCACATCCCTGTGCAATACCATACCCTGTTTGAATGTGCTTGAGAGAACACAGAAACACACACATGGGCTCCAAAGCATTCACATACTAGATAGCAAGCAGGGATGTCAGCAAATCTTTGGGTTCAAGACCTAAGTCTGAGTCTTTGCTACTAAGTCCTGAGTCCCAATCCCCAAGTCCAAGTCCATATTAAAAACAAGCTTGTTTCCCCAGGAAAAAAATGGAGATGTGGGTGGATTCCAAGGCATGGGTCGAATCACTGGAAAAAACCCAAGCAAAACCCAAGTTGAGTCCAACTTGACAGTGAGAGCCACAAGAAGTCCCTGTTTGTGGCAGCAAGCAGATCTCCCAAAATGCTCACACAGACCACAAAACAACAAATAGTATGACATATTTTCTTCTCCTTTCACCCGTCCTGCCCCTTCCTCTTTCTTTGCCTTCCCTTGTACGCTGAGGTGGGCAAAGCGAAGTTCCCCAACACCCAAAGTTTAAAAAATGTGACCACATATTGCCATTCATGCTTTGCAAACACCAGGGAAAGGAGCTCCTCCCCCCCAAATCCCTAAGTGACTAGATGGTTGTTTCCAGTTTTAAGTCCATGGGTGTCCTTTTGCCAAAACTGGAAACAGTTGTGGCCCCACTGCACCATGGACCAGTTGTGGACAATTTAAAAAAAACAGGTGGTGGTTGGAGGGAGTATCTTTCAACGAAGGCCTCTGGAAGCTGCCCATCCTTACAAAAGCACCATATAACAGAGCAATGAAGCTGTTGTGCATCAAGAAAGAAGTCATAAACAAATTAGATAAAGCCGAGCGAGTAACATCACCATCACCATGTTAGAATGGCAGAGCTGGAAAGGACCCTATGGATCATTGAGTCCAACCCCTGTCAAGGAGGCACAGTGGGGAATTGAACTCTCAATCTCTGTCTCTGCATGAAATACAGAAAAAAACGAAAAGTTACCCTGTTTCCTAATTTATTTTAGGAGAATGTATTGAGATTATTGTTATTTTGACCTGAATGTTTGTACTGCTACTGATGTTTTTTTTTAAAAAAAAAAAAACAGCACTAATCCTGGGCATCTCTGTTCAATGTATATTGTTATTTTGACCTGAATGTTTGTACTGATACTGATGTTTTTTTTTTAAAAAAACAGCACTAATCCTGGGCATTTCTGTTCAATATATCCCAATTAACTCTAATATAATTTGAATAATATCATTTAAGACATACTGCAGTGCTACCTTCATAGCCTGGTCAACAAACTGTTTGGTTGAGGAATTGTTCTGAAAAGGAAACAACAGGTTCAAAATCTAATCCTATCATCTATATACAACAAACGTGTCAAATTACTTTTTTTATTATTAATGGAGTTTTAATTGTCATAAGCTTTTTGAAACATCAACTAGATTTGTCTTGTTTTGTTCTTGTCCGCCCCTCTGGTATGTTTTTCTTTAATCTTGTCTCTGCTGCTTCATTTTACAGGAAACTGAACAACATCTGAGTAAGTGGGCTTAAAAACATATGTCAAATAAAATGTTTTAAGTCTTTAAGATACCATATGGTTCTTAGTTGATTCTACTGTCTTACATCATTTTTTTCTATGATTTACTGCTGGGATTGCTGTAATCTTGCTTTATGGCTGTAAGACGCCATGAGCGTGTTTACTGAGAGGGCAGGGTAAAGTCTTTATCAATGAGGAAATATATCTTGTCACCACCCACATTGTTCGCCAATCCCCTACTTATGCACCTGAGGCTGTTCACACCAAAGGCCAGGCAGCTCTCGCTAATGTGTGGATTTATCCTAAGCACCACCAGTTTTCAGTACTTGTCTCAGTGTATACTTCGTGTGAAGTGTGAACAAAAGAAGCCCAAAATAAAATATTTTGTTTTTAATACCTCAGGTGAACTTTCAAAGCGTATCATTAGAAAGGAGGAATCACTGAACTGGCATGAATTATTCCTGCACAATAGCACCATCCAATTTTAATCGAGCTGGTCTAGCTCAGTGAGTTATGTATCTGACTGCAATGCCAGAGGCTGAGAGTTCTATTCCTCACTGTACTTCCTGCGAGTAGAGCCAGCCTGTGCAGCCTTGGGCAAAGCTGCACAGTCCAAGGCACCCCCAGAAGAAGGGAATGGTAAACAACTTCTGAGTACCCTCTACCTAGAAAACCCTGAAAAGAGTCAGCATAAGAATGAATTGACTTTACGACAGACAGTCATTAAGGCGGGACTTCTGGTAACTGTTTCCATTCCCCTTCCCTCATCTGCACACAGTGTCTATCTGTCTAATGGAATTTTCCATGCAATATCTAAAGTTGCTACTCTCACCTAAAGCAAAATCTGAAAAACTCCAGGAAATTTAATGAGAAGAAATCTAATTTCTGATGACCATAAAACATCTTGTAGAAGTTCTGCATTGTTGATAAGGGAGAATGAATTAATTTTCCCCAGGCAAGATGCTCAGGGCAGGCAGTATAAGCTCTCATGCTGCCTGAGGTGGAAAGAAAAGCACTACTCCAACATTGCGTGACAGTGGGAGGAACCACACTGCACTGTACCTCCGTTGTGCACAGAACCACCAGTGGCCCCACAAACCACCCAAAGAAGCCCCAAGATTGTTTCTCCTTGCTGCACTACATTGTTCAACTCCAATAACATTGGGGGACTTCTGACCCAGTAGGAGAGGTTGCTAAAATTGCCTGCAGCTCTCTTCACAGCCATGTCTTACTAAAGAAACTCTATCATTTATTATGTTTATGGATTTTTATTTTAATTGTATATCCTTGCTGTTAGCCGCCCAGAGTGGTATGATATACCAGATGGGTGGGATATAAATTAAATAAATAAATAAATAAATAAATATCATCATCATCATCATCTGAAGTAGCACAGATAGGTACATGAAGGCATTGCCCACATTTTGACTGTCACACATAGGTTTACTAAGCCAAACTACAGATGTTAGTTTTTAACCCATGCACACAATACCTTTGCTTCTCAAGTCATAAGCACGGCAATCAAATCAAGAAACTCTGGTTACTAATTTTGAAACACACTAGGATTTTAAATTTGAATTTATGATAAGATCCTATCTTGTTCTGAAGTGAATAATGATCGTTTCCTGTTTTTGACAAACTGGGAAACTACAAAAAGACCTGTGTCACCTTTCAGACCAACAAGTTCTATTTGGCATAAGCATTTATGAACTGTAGCCCACTTCTAGAAATGTATAACATGAAGGTTAATGAGAGATGTCTTGGCACCAGCGGGCCATGGTCCAAGCAGGAAGAATATCTTAACCTACCCACTGCAAGATAAGAACACACATACACTCTGCCTTGATTATCACGGCCCATTATTGCACTTCTTAGTTTCATGGCTGCATGATGCAAATAGGGGAGCCAAGGAACAGCATTTTCAGGCAAAAGGTTTACACATGTCTCAACTCAACAAGCCAAGATAAGATAATTTGGTTGGGCTACTGTGTGTGCAGAGCCAGCTCTGTGTATATAAGGCTTCATATTGAAATGTGCCAAAACAATTTGTATGCAAATTATTCCTGGTGTCTAGATTCTGATGTTCTGACATAAATCATGTGTATGAGAAGGTACTTCATAGGGGGATTCAGTCAGTCAGTCAGTCAGTCAATCAATCAGTCATTCAGTCATTTGATTTATTCCTCCAAGGAACTCAAAGCAGCACGTATGGATATGAATTGCAGTCTCTCCAGCCAATTTTAACACACAAGTCACTACCATCACTTTGCTAGCTTTTGTTTTGCATTTTGAGTTTGGAAATGTTTCATTCTATGTTTATATTAGTTGGGAACAGGCTGGATAGGAACACTGAAACAAAATAGAGATGATCCCGGAACTGAAGAAACAGTTACAGTGGTGTCTCAACTTATGAACATCCCTGCTTACGACCATCTTCTGGAACAGATTATGGACGTAAGTCGAGGCACCACTGTAATCAGATCTGTGCATTCTAAAAGTCACAGCCAGTGCTACAGTCAGAATTTTATTGATGATTTATGCTTGTGCAAAGGAAATGCCATTATTCTTTAAAACAAATTACCACTTATTAACAAGATGCTGATTGTATCCTGGAGGTGGCTCCCAGGAACACAATTTGTACCTCATTAATGAGCATCAGTTGCTGTCAAGACCCATGCAATTTCCCTTACACAAGCTTTCTTTCTTTCTTTCTTTCTTTCTTTCTTTCTTTCTTTCTTTCTTTCTTTCTTTCTTTCTTTCTTTCTTTCTTTCTTTCTTTCTTATACTAAACATCGAGTGACAAGCCACTACTCTTGGTGGTTTACAACACATAAAAACACTTAAACTCCCCACGCTAAAACAGAAAAGTCTGTCTCCCTGCAATGGCAACAGCAATAAAATAACAAAATCAAGCACATAATGTAAGTCTATCACAGGGCCAGGAGGCTGTTGTGAAAAGCCTCTATACAGAATTGTGTTTTTACTAGCTTTCAGAAGGCTAGAAGGGAAGGGCCCTGGTGTACCTCCTCCAGCAGGCATTCCACAACGTCACAGCCACCACTGAGAAGGCCTGCTTCCTAACCACAGATTTCCAGACCTCCCTCGGGGTGGCCACCCACAGCATCAGAGGCTGGGAGGAACAGGTAGCACAGGCTGAAGATACCAGGGAGAGGTGCCCCAACAGGTAACAAAATTTCAAAGTATTAAGGGCCTTATATGCCGACATATATTAAGGTATTAAATTTGGCATGCAAGTGTACAGGTGACATAAAACACCAACAAAATTCTGGCCCCCTCCTCCTTTTGCCTTCCTAATATTATCAAGAAACAAAGGCCTCCAGTTCGATCTTAGTATTTATTCTTAGTATTTGTAACTGGTATCGGGCAAAGTAGGACCCTCCAGATAATTTGGGACGGTAAGTCCTAGCCACAGTTGATAGAAGCTATTGTTCAAAAACATCTGGAGAGCCACAAGCTGCTAATCCTAGTTTCATGTATTTTATAGTGAGGACAGCCAAAGCGTAGTCTATGCTGTTCAACTGCATTCTTCACCATTGGCTATACTAGCTAGGGCTGATGGGATCTGGAGTTAAACAACATTTGGAGAACGGCACTTTGCCCACCCATTTTGTAGTCTGCAACACAGTGGATAAGATCAGCTGCACAGCAGTTCAGTTTTGAAAGGGGTGTGTGTGCCCATGATGACTAGAGATCTCCATGGCCTCACTGCTGTATTTTGATAACTTGACGTGTACCAGGGCTAAAACGATACAAAGACTAAATGAAAACAAGACTGAATGAAAGGCGGATACCTGTGCTCTGTGCCGCTTTGACCAGCCCTTTTCTTAACACATCCTTAAGCCAGGCCCTCACACGCACTTCACCTTCACCTCCCACTACAGACACAACAAGGTTGGGGTGCGGTATCTTCCAGTGGTGTGTTACTAGGCCGTATACAGCTGCAGGGTCTGATGTATCTGACAGACGGATGAACTGCAGTGGAGAAAACACAAGAGAAAAGAGTGAGAAGGTTAGGGCCAAGGTTTTGAACCACACATCAAGCCACTCCCCGTATCCCAGAGAGCATAGTTGTAAAGTCATAAGACTTCTCATTGAAGTCTTAGTGGATCACTCAGCTTCTCCAGGGAGACAGGTCTTACCATGAACTGTGCTGGAGGAGGGCAACATTTGATTTTTGTGTGTGAGGTAAACTTAAGCCTGGGCATCCATCATTGGCCATTCCCAGCTGGCACTAGTGCTCACTGGTTTGAAATGACCGTGTTCATGGACATTTTGATTCCCTCTCCATCCTCGCCTGCTAGTTTCTGTGACATCACAAGGGCCTATCCCTGTGACGTCTCAAAGGACAGTCTGCCGTTGTGATATTGTGAAGACCTGTCTCCTGGTTTCTGTTTTAGGCCCTGAAATCTCAGAGAATTGGATATCCCCAACCTGGCAGCCCCAATCCAACAGTGCTAGGTTTCCTTCACACATCCTCCGTCTTATTTGATACCACAGCCTTCCTCAGCTGATGCAACAAATACTGTATGCAGTCTCCTTCTTGAGACATTCTATTAACACAGACCCTGACACCACAATATCTGGGACTTCCTTGTTTCTCCTCACCAGCAGTTTCTCAAGAACTGCAGTATCCAGCCTGCTGAAGGATTCCTGCTGGACTCCACCACTTCCCTGCTTTAAATGTTTTAATAATATGTTGTTTGAAAGGTATTAGCCACCCTTGCATTTGAAATTATTGGAGCTTTAGCCCAGCACAGCTATAGGGCACCAAGCTAGGTAAGGCTTCTCTCAGGTGATAAAAGCTCCCCTGGCTTTGTTGAGACACTATCATTTCTCCTCACAATTCCCCAGCACCAGTCAATACTCAGCTTAACTTCCATCTGGTGACAGACTCACCTTGCTAGTCCTGCGCCCTGCACCCACAAACTCCACCTCACCATAAGCATCCGTGGGCCCCTCTGTTGTGTGCTGGGCTGAGTCCCATTTGCTGACAATGGCTGCTCCGAAGGCATCTTCTGTGGCCACGGAGACGTGGTTGCTGCGAGGGCTCCCACACTGGCATAGGCTGGGAGCACTGAAAAATGGAAAAGCACAAAGCAGGGTCCTGAAGGAGGGCGCAGTTCTAAGCCAGGGTTGGACACTAGCTGTTGTACAGGTTGCATGGTGCCCCACTGGGCCTATATGCATTCCTAAGCACCCCTTATATACTCCAAAGAAAGTAAACTTTAAAAAAAGAAAGAAAGAAAGAAAGAAAGAAAGAAAGAAAGAAAGAAAGAAAGAAAGGGCTCAGAAATTCCCCTTGTGGGTTTTAGGGGGCGAGGGGAAAATTCTGTCTTGTTCTGCAGCTCCTCCTCCCCCAAAAATAATATATATATTTTGGCCACTAGAGGGTATAACGGAGGGGTTTTTTTTGGGTTTTAATTGTGATTTTTTTTTCTGTAAGAAAAAAAACTTTCATAAAGAGAAAGCCCTTAGCACCTGTGGAAAAACAAGCACACATGTATAATAGAGAAAATGTGACATAAGAAGATTATGGCCGATAGCAGCAAGAATCAGTCAGTACCATGTGCAGAGAGGTTATTTTGTTTTAGGAAGGCTTCCTCTGGAATATTATGTGAAGGTCTGGGTGTTACATTGTAAAGAAAAAACAGAGTTTGGAAAAATTCTTTGTCCCGAGTATAATTCCCAGAATTTTCAACCAGCATGCCATGATATCTAACTTGAGAGAAGGCCATGATGAAGGCCTGAGGGATGGAAAACAAATCTCATAGAGGAAAAGTTGAAAGAACAGCTCATGATTCTTTTAGCCAAAAAAGAGAAAGAAAGGCTGAAGGAGTACACAGTTATACCCTATTAACAGTGGGTGATCTCAGTGGGCCTGAGCACCATTTTTCTGAATTTCTGGTACCCTAATGATCCACTCTCAAGGAACAAGTTTAAAGAGACAGTGTGACTAAAAAGGCTAATTTTCATGTGTTTCTCTTTAAAAAAATAAATAAATAAGGCAACCTGTAAAGAAGGCTAAAATGAGTTTTTGTTGTCTGAAAACAAAGGGGATTGCTAAATGAAAAAGCCACTAGTATCAGACTGTTTTAAAATATAAATTAATTTAGAGGGGCTGAAAGCTGAAAGGCCCTCCCTCCCCTCCACCTTGCTTGGATAGCTAAGAGTCGTAGGTACCGGGCATAAAGGGAGAGAGGGTGCTGTTGAAGAAGTGGCGAATATGTTATGCATTTCCTGATGATAAATTTCAGCCACAGTTTCCTTATCGTATTCTGTTCTTCCTTTAATGTTTTGTTGCATAAATTCATTGTTCACTGCACTCTGGAATTTGTAATGTGGAGTGGATTATAAATAAAGAAGGAAGGAAGGAAGGAAGGGTGCAGTGTAGGAATAGAGGGGGAACAGATGGCATAGAGAGATGCAGGAGAAGAAGACTAGTGTATATGGGTATTAAAAGATAGAAGTCACTAAGAAATTGAAACATTGAGTAAGAATGAATATAGTTACCTGTAACTTTTTCTAAAGAGGGCTTAGCATGCTTTCAAAAGTAATGTTATATCACCTTTTGAATGTAATCATTTAAATCTTATAATTGTTTTTGAAGTTATTTCTTAAGGGCACTTTAAAGTACTTTCAGATATGTTTTGAACAGACTCTTGTCATGTTTTATGTTATTCAGTTTTCACTTCCAAGTACTTTGCTCCGTAAAGTAAAATGAAAACAATGTAACAGAGAAGCAACGTGTAACTTAAGGCGTAATGTTAACAAGGCACAAAAAAGCTGTAAGTTGTTTGGAGACCTTGAAAGTTACTCTTCTAAAAATTTACTCTTCTAGCTCTACACGCTCTCTGAGAAGAGCTAGCGTCTTTATCAGAAAATTGAGAAAAGCAGGGGGAAAATTGGACTTCACTCACCCCGGTTCACCGGGTTGCTCGATAAACGTTGTGCAGACTTTCTTTTTGAAGAGTTTGGGGATCCATGCCTGAAGATGAAAAATCAGGAAGAAGAAAAAGCTCTTAAGAAACCCATCACTCTAAGCCAGTCGTCTTGATTAAGCGCCAAAAACTCATTCTAGAGGCCACAGTACCTGATCTTTCTGGATAGAATTGGCCATGGAGTAGACTGATTGGGCACAGCCCGTGCCAGGCTGGCACAGTGTCTCTCGTTTACCTTGAACCAGTGACTGAATGATCAAGCAAGAGTGAGAGAGCTTTAAGATCTAGCTCGCAGCAGCTGCACCACACCCCACTCAGAAACTTGCTTGACCGGATAAACACCGCTGAGAGTATGCAGGGTTCATCTATGAGCAGATTTTGATCGCAGTTCCTGTGAGACAGGGAGTGAGAGCAGTGGCCCTCTCGCCGGAGTGCCGTCCCTCCTCCTTACAGCCGAGAAAGAGATACAGACCTTACCCACCTCATCTCCTAAGAGAATGGAGCAGCGAGAGACAGACACAGGAGAAGTAGAGGGAGAAATACGGAAGTTAACTCTCAAAGGAACTGAGAGGAAAAAGGCAGGAGTGGAATGGAAGAAGAGGGTGGAAACTGAGGGGGGGGGCAGAAGATATAAAAAGGAGGGAAGAACAGTTTCCACCAGGTTGGGAGTGGGTCTGGATGGAGGATCCCCTGGACAGGAGCGTGGGAGAAGCTAAAAGAGGGACTATAGAAAAAGGAGGGAGATTCCTGTGAGATCCTCATATTGGGGAGAGGCAGAGGCCAAGGAGTGGAGGAGAAAACTAAAAGAAGAAAAGGAGAAGGGAGAGAGAGAGGAGGAAGAGACTCGAATGGAGAGTGAACGAAATGAGGATGAGGGGATACAGGGGGGACCCTGGAAGACACAGACTTCCACCGGAGAACCCCTGTAGATGGACAGCAGGGATGATGACGCTGTGCCCTTGCTGGAGGGTGCAACGGGACAGGTGGTAAACCCAAACCTATCTTTAGACTGGCTGGGCCCATGGAACTCGGGTGAAGGGAGCCCGTTCCTCAATGAAGATTGGAAACGCCTGGCTGACCCGTTGTCAGAAGGAGAAGAGTGTTGGACTAATTTCATTGACCCTGGTCACCTGTTGAATACCCCAATAAACATCACACCTGTTTTGAAGTAAAACAAATCTCCTGATTTATTTGAGCGAAAAAAGGAGCCCAAAATCGAACCCTCATAGTTCCCTGTGTGGCTGACTTTGAATCATTGGGGGAAGTTCAGGAGAAAATATAGCTGTCTAGGGAGAAATCCATCCCTTGAGCCCTTGCACATTTGGCCACATTAGGCCTTCCGTCAGCTTCACGCTCAGTTTTATTCACCCATTGATCTACAAGGCAAACAATATGAAATTGTGGTAAATATATATGGGTGTTGGGTTGGAGCTGTATTCATAATGTACAGTGCTGGTACATCCTTTCCAGCTGTTTCCTGTCTCTCTCCCCCCCAACAAATTCTCTAATCTGAAAGGGGAGTGTGTTAAAGGTCAGAGAACTAAGATGTATATGTATGTTTTGGCAAATTTTGTCTTTTTCTTAAGTAGGGGCACCTTTCTCATGCACCTTAACAGCCTCTAGGATGGATGTTTTTGTTACGCGCTGTCGTCTTAACAACCTCTGACTTATGGCGACCCTATGAATGAGTGATCTGCAAAAAGTCCTGTCCTCAACAGATAGAGCCTTATAAATTCCAACCTGGGGATTCCTCTGTGGAGTAAATCCATCTTGTATTTGATCTCCTTCTTTCTTCCTCCCTCTTTTCTTGCTGCTTTCAACCTTTCCCAGCATTATAGACTTTTCCAGTGTACAGTAGGACCCCAGTATCCATTGAATCAGTGTATGAATTTTCACTTATCCACGGTCTGAAAATATTAAAAATATTAAAATTAAAAAACCAAGAAAAGCTATATTCATTATACATATTCATTATATATATTCATTCATATTATATAATGAATGTAGCTTTTCTTGTTTTTTCACTATTACCAACGGATTTCAGTATCCATGGGGGGGGGGAGGCTTGGAACCAATCCTCAGTGGATATGAGGGTCCTTCTGTATCTTACCTTTTCATGATGCGTCCAAAGTAGAACAGCCTCAATTTCAACATGTTTGTCTCCTAAGATAGTTAAATCTTGATTGGATCTAGGACCCACTTGTTCATTGTTTTGGCAATCCAGGGTATCTGCACAGCTCTTCTCCAGCACCATATTTCAAGCAAATGAAAATTCCTCATGTCAGCTTTCTTTACTATCCAGATTTCACACCCGCTCACAGTGACTGGGAATGCAATAATGTGCATGATCTTGGTCTTCATCCCCAGTGACACATTTTACACTTGATGATCTTTTCTAATTCCTTCATTGCTGCCCTTACATGTCTCAGTCTTCTGATTTCTTGGTTGCAGTCTCCATTTGGAGTGATGATTGGCCCAAAGTACAGTATACAAAAGCTTTCAATTTTATTTTTTTTTCATCGTCAACATTAAACCTGCGTTCTTCTGTAGACATGATTTTTGTCTTTCTTTATGGAATGGATATGGAACAGAAATTAGTTATCTTCCAATTTAAAGATATACTGTATAAAGTCATCAAGTCCAACCCCCTGCTGCTCGATGCAGGAAGACAAATAAAAGCATATCTGCAAGGTGACTGTCTAAGTTTTTCTTGAATGCCTCCAGTGTTGGAGCCCTCACCACCTCCTGAGGTAACTGGTTCCACTATCGTACTGCTCTAAGAGTTAGGAAGTTTTTCATGATATTCAATTGAAATCTGGCTTGATCTGAGGATTGAGAATTACTACCAAGAAAGTAGAAGGAGGAGATTGACACAAGATAACCCTTTATGCACCCCCCCAATTTTCTACTTTGTGGGGTCACCTGCTAGGCCTCTGGGAGTTTCATTGAGCCCTGTTTTAGAGCTTCAGCAAGTTCCTGTTTTGGAATATAAATCTCATAGATCCCCCAGCCAGCATGACCATAAAGGACAGTGTTTGCTCTTGTGCATGAGAGAAGGACAAACATTTCTTTGGAGCCAGGCGCAACAACTTCTTCCATTGGGAATACTTTTTAAGTTCTTCCTGATAAATCAGACACATCTGTGTAGTTAATCAAAGGGCTTTTAGCTGAACAATTTTTACTGATGCTTTGACTTAAATGTAGAAGCTTTTGTGCAAACATCTTTCATTAGCATAGCAACACGTTGTTCCAGAAAAACATTCTTCTCTCAGTGAGAACACTGAGGCGTTTCCCCCCTGAAGGTGTGTGATTAAACCCAGGCAGTGATGAAACAACTTTAAAACTAGTGGAAGTAATTCATGTTAATGAACTGCCCATTTCCTTTGTGCCCTGAATGCCTGGAGCGTCATAAAAAGCAGCAACGCCTTTCTCTTCAAAAAGAAACTAACAGTGCTATACATGTGTACCCGAACCCTGAAGTAACTAATTATTTTTAATTAATTGCTTTCTTCAGTAAGCTAGGCTTAGCTAAAATTGCATCACATTAGCCTAAAATGATAATGTGAATTTATGCTTGCAGCATAAGGGCTGGGAATTGTTGCATAAGTGGCCCAGGAGCAGGGCCAACCTGTGTGTCCTTTGAGCAAGCTACATAGTTCCTGTGTACATCTAGAAGATGGAGATGGTAAATTACTTCTGAATAGTCTATGCAGTAGGAACCCTGTATCCGCAGGATCAGTATCCACAGTTTCACTTACGTTCTGAAAATATTAAAAATATTAGAAGAAAAAAAATCCAGGAAACCATTTCCACATGTATTACCAGAACCCATCACTAGGGGGAATCAGAGACCATGTTAGGAATACTTGTTAGTGAAGAATACACAGCATGGTCTCTCTCACCCTCTAGTGGCCAGGTCTGGTAATGCATGTAAAATATTTTTCTTGCCCCCTCCCCTTTTACCATGATACATGGCAAAAGGGGGGGACCAAGAAAAAATATTTTACATGCATTACCAGACCTGGCCACTAGAGGGTGAATAATAAAATATATATACACACACAGTGTTTATACACAGTGTTATACACACTGTGTATATACACACAGTGTTTGCTATTATCCATAGTTTTCTGTATCCACAGTAGCTTTGGGGGCCCTATCATACCTAGGAAGCCTTGGATAGAGACATCATAAGTCAGAATCATGCTAAATGAATTCAAGGAAATGATATAAATTGTGGTAGCAAATCGCTACCAGCTATGTGATCAGCATGCTTCCAAGAACACAACCAGCGCAGTTTGCTGCCAAGCAATTTTCCTTGCTTGAGCATACATTGGCAATATGATTTTTGCTATTGCAACTATATTCCCAGTGTGGTGTAGTGGACAGAGTGACAGACTAGGACTCTGGAGAGTGGGGTTCAAATCTCCATTTGACCATGGAAACTCACTAGGGAAGTGGAACTGGTAAAACTACTCCTTAAAACATCTCACTTGCCTTGAAAGCCCTATTAGAACTGCTATAAGTTGGTTCTGACTTGATGGCACAGAACACGCACATTGTCACTCTAACTTAACAAGATACCACTTCACCTCTTTTATAGTATAAATGTAACTTTAGAAAGTACCGTTTATAGTTACAGGATGGGGCTTGACGAATGGTGGAATATTGTTGAAACCTTTGCTCTTGCTCTATTTTGGATGTTAAAGTCCGAAAGAGGTGGACAAAGAGAGAGTGTGTTTTGTACCCCTGGCTGGTAGTGGCTTGTGCCAGTCATAATTTTTAAAAGGAATCAGAAGTAATTATAATTCTAACTTTTTGAGAAACTGGAAAACAAAGTTACTTTTAACATGTAACAAGGCTGGCAAACTAGCTACGTCTTGTATGTGGGAATTATCACTAAAATGCAAGCTTTGATATGAACTTTGATATGAACTAAAATGCTTTGATATGAACTAAAATGCAAGCTTTGATATGATATGAGCACACTCCTGTACTACAGCGAGTCCTGGACCCTTTGTGCACGGCAGGAGAGGAAGCTGAACACGTTCCATATGCGTTGCCTCCGACGGATTTTTGGCATCACCTGGCAGGACAAAGTCCCAAACAGAGTAGTCCTAGAGCGAGCTGGAATTTTCAGCATGAATACATTACTGAAACAGCGACGTCTACGTTGGCTTGGGCACGTCGTGAGAATGGCTGATGGTCGGATTCCAAAGGACCTCCTGTATGGAGAATTAGTGCAGGGAAATCGCCCCAGAGGGAGACCACAGCTGCGATACAAGGACGTCTGCAAGCGAGATCTGA